CCTACATTTCATAAGATCACAGTTACAGTTGTTACCTACGTTGTTTCCTTCATTTACATTTTGTGAGCTACCAGATGACACAGTAGACATGCAGAGATTTTTACTATTTGTGTATTTTGATACTATAAACTAAAGAGCTCCCTACTGCTCCATGTTATTTATATGCACGTTTAATGTGTAACTCTACCACTAAATTGAAGTAACTACAGTTTACTGTAATTTCCTCATTCTACATTCTATGTATTCTATGTTTTTGTTCTATGTAATTTTAAGTTACAGATAAATTTCCATAGGGGTCATTTCTTGTAGCCAGATGAGATTATTTCAGAATGAGTGCTATCAAATGGTGTTATTAAAAATAGATTAATTAGAATTCTGACTCAGATGTTAGTTCAACATTTAAATTTCTGCTAATACTTCTGATTCTCACTGTATGAGGGTCAGTGTAGCTCTGCTAGGTGATCTTTGTGCTATCTATGCAGAACAACAGATGTTATCGTAGAAGCCTCACTGCCCTCAGAGGCCATGAAAAAGCCTGCAGTCATCATACCTGCTTTATTTTGGCCCCGTTGAGTGTCTGACTTGTCTTTGCTTATTTAGTCAATTAATAATGAAATTGTTATTTTATAGGTATATTACAAACTGATGGATATTTCCCAGGTAGAGAAGGAAATAAAAAGTTCCATCCATCTTTCAGTTATTTATAAAATGCAGATGTTAAAATTGTAAGTATAAAAATGTATCCTTCCACTTGCACTGTGATGCTTGGCATTACAGAGGTAGGGGCAGGTTCTGGTGTCCCATCTGCCAGTAGAAAAACCTACCACACAGATGAGCTTGGGTCGCAGCTGCCAGGCCTGTCTGGGGAGCAGCCTCGGCTGAAAAGTGAGCTGTGCTTTGGGACTTGGGAATCACAGCGTGTTGGACCCATATTCTCAGGGCAAGGACAGTAAGAGAGTGAAAGATGTTTTTGTATCCAGCAGATTGTGGTGCCATATACAAGTCATGTATGAGAGTGAAGGTGAAGCAGGGTAATCACCTAAAATGCAGCGCATGAGTCACAAGGATAGAAAGCATAATACTTTTAAAACTTCTTACATTTTAAAGGCATGAAACAATTTTGAAAATTAGACTTTGTAACAAGCTCTCTTTTTTTAATGTGTCAACAGTTCCCATTTAAAAAGTATTAATTCTTTTAGTAACAGTGGGTTAATTTATGTTGACATTATAGGAAAGCAGCTTTGCACGCCATTTTTTTTCCTCTTAGAATAAAACTTGCTGTCTGAAATACCAGTTCTTATGCTGTAATGTTCTTTGTGCTTCAAATCTGGCTGTCTCTGGGTAACCTACTGGGCATACTGAAGTAGGTTGCGTTGACTTGATTTTAATTTTTGTTTTTTTTGACATTTCAAAACCCAGGTACCCAACTGATACATTGGAACAAGAGCCATCCGTTCCAGAGTTAGGGGAGTTACTTCAAATTTTATGCAATAATATTTCTTGTGAAAAATTATGATCAATTCCTAATATATTGCAGGCAGTGGGACACAGATGAATTTCCAAGTGATGCCACCACAAGTCTGAACTCCATTTATGTCCTTCTGAAACAATACGATGTACCTCCAGCATCTGTTCTCAGAGTGAAGTGAGTTTTACCTGTCATAGCACTGTGGAAGTCGATGCCAAAGCTGGTTCTGCTTCCACTGAAGTCTGTCAAAATTCCCGTTGACCCTGAAAAGAGTGAACTCGTACTTAGTTACAGTACTTTGTGTTGCGTTAACACTTAGGTCGTCATAGAAAAAGGCAAAAGTCCTCTAGGACTTAAAAAGGCTTTAATAAAGAACCAAAGATTAAATATCTTCTACCATATAGCTGTTTGTATAACATGATTAATTCTTTCCATAACCTTTTCTTGTTGATAAAAAGAGACTTTTAAAAGGTCCTAGAATTGAGAAGTGCTTTTCAGACTTGAGTTAATTTTTAGCTTTTCTTGGGGCCCTTCTCAATTCTTCAGCTTAATTTTGAAATGCAGACTGAACAGAACACAGTTATATCACAGCTGTTACATATGGAAGTAATACTACGTTTTTACTCATTTAATACTACGTTTTTACTCATTAAGGTCAAACTTCTTTGATGATATTGAGTTATCTCATTACTTCTCCTATCCCAGACAGGACACTAAGCTGATCTGGTTATTTACGGAGATCCAAACATTTAAAACAGCCTCCCACCGTGTGTCTTCTGTTTCCTTCGTTCCCAAATAATCGGCTGAGGGATTTGACTATTTTAAGTTGTGTACCAGTTGACTGCATTGCATTTACAGAATGACCTGCGGTCTTTCTTTGCTGTTTCACCATCTTTCTGCTCCATACATTTAATTCTGTATTTTTATGTTCTTCAGGAACAGTGCAAGGCTGCAGTAGAAGAATACAAATTGTTTTCCATAACAGATGAACTTTTGTAGTTTTTCATGTAGTCAACTTTATTCTTTTTTCCTTGTTAATGTGAGCATTACTAGTGTAACCACATGTCCTCTGACACTAAGATGACTTCAAGGTTTCAGATCTATTGCACACAGTTACTTTCATACAGTGCTTTTCTAATTCCATAAAAGCAATATCAGATTCTCTGAAGCGATGTTTCTCTATTTTTGAAGGATTCCTTTGATTCTGGAATTGGCTCGTTTTTCTATGAAAGTAAACTGCATTAAGGTTGCTCATGATTGTATACTTGATTTGAAGAGAGCTGGGATTACTGTAAGTATTAATATTGATTACAACTGATCTTTTTTTTTAAACCACCCCCCTCCAATTGTGATTATACTTTAAATGTGATACTGATGGCTCTGGGATCCTCTGTCCATCTCTGTATTGTTTATATGTTCATAAATATAAACAATTGTTTGGATAAGTGATCTATTCTTAAGCGAGAGAGAAGGTGTAAGTTCAGAAAGTAGTGTGTAGGTGTAACAGGGTAATTAGTGCAGTTAGTCTTGACAAATAAATGTTAACTGTAAACTTTTGCCAATGTTTTTAAAATGTTATCAGTGGAACAGTGTGATCTGAAGTCAAATGCTGCCCGCAGGTTTTGAAGATGTAACCAGTTTACCCTTTGAGATGTAATTGGTCACCAAGACATAAGCTCTAAGAGCAGTTAATGTTGCATGCATTCACTTTAGTCTTTATGAGAACAGTATCAGCCTTGCAGAACAGCGTGAGAGTTCTGATTTTGATGAGGAGAAAACAGCATTTGTCTGGAGCACGATTAGGGGACTGATGGAAGGAGCAGTCCAAAAAAGCTTGCCAAATAAAAGCACCCCGGAGTTGTTACCTTTTCTGGGAAGTAGGACTTGAGCAATATATTCAGTCATTGGAGCGAGAAATCCAGAGGAGTATTCTTAGATTAAAGTTTTGTGTGATCTTCCCTTTGCATGGATCCTGCTTTGAGTTACTTGTAAATTTTGCTTATCCTCACTGGAATTTTTTTTATTATACACTTCAGGCCATTTTTTTCTGAAAATTTCCCACCACTCTAAAATCATCCACAGGTCCATACCATTGCACTGCAGATGTGTTTAAATTCCTTAGCTCAAGGGCTGGCAGTGATTTAACAGCTGCAGTAGCTGCACAGACACCGATCCCCGCAGTGTCCCCTCTGCAGCAGAGCTGCCCCCTGCTCCTGTTTGGGTCCTCGCCCTCGGGAGGTGTTGGTGACGCCTCAGGTTGTTCACCATTGCTTTGCCATGGGAGGGAGAAATCTCTGCCGAGCTCCTGTTCCTTGGCTTTTGCAAACACTGACAGAGTTCTCAGCCATAACGTGCACTCCAGCTCTGTACGTGTTTCTCATTACATGACACGGCTGTTCTACATTTACTTAAGTTTTCCGAGAGCTCATCTGCCTTCCAGTTACGGGGATGTTAAATTAACAGAGGTCATGCTGAGTGATGGATAATAGCTCATAATGAATGATGGACGGAGATGCTGTCTGCCTTTCCCTGCTGCACCATATGAAACCAAATACAAAGTATCATAGGTGATCCATATGTATAAATTGTATGATTTAACAGCCAGATCTTTCCTGAGATGTTGGAAATCTAACCTCTTTTTTCACTTAGAAGTTGCACTAGCCATCACAATGAATCCTTTCTGTCTTGAGTAGCTCTCCTTTATTCCAAGCATGTACCTTTTAAATAACATCAGTGAGCAAGAATGTACTAGAACTGAAATCAGAGTACAGTACAGGAAAAATCAAGTGTATGCTGGTTTTCTTATTGCAAAGTCTGGCAATGAACAGCTTTAAAAATCCCAGTAAAGATTTTGCAGCTTCAGCTTGGTAAGAGGTGGCTGCTGCTCAAGCAACAAATTCTGCTCCCTTTTTATCGCTTCAGTTAATTAGCTACGATAGTGGGATTTTCAGTAAGAAAGTACAGTGCTGTATTGGTGTAACTGCATGGGTTTAATCTTCATTGTGTTCCTTTTTAATTATTAAAATGAGCATTCTGTGTGTTGATACTTCATAGGAGCAGGGGAAACTTATTGAAATAGAATGTCTGGAATATGAATATGAAATAAAAAAAATTGGCACTAAAGTTGTGACTTACACGAAAGGAGTCGTTGAGGTATGTTATTTCACATTAAATTTGAGAGGAAAAGTAAAGGTTTTAATTTGTTAAATGTGGAAAATTGCATTGGACTTGTGTATCTTAATTACATTGTTCTGATCAGAAAATCTTTTAAACTTGATATTGTTTCTAATTGAGCTGCCAAGAAGAAAATAGGAAAAAATACGCAACAGTCGTATATTCCTCCCCTAAGTCTTCTGTCCTAATATAAAGGTTTGTAATGCATTACTCTCCAGGAGTACAGATGGTGGTGTGGAGGCATGCAAAGGCGAGAGTCTCTTCATATTTCGCTCTTGTGGAGGTGTTTTCGTGGAACATCTCAAGTTGGGGGGGATCAGCTGAGGATCACTGAGTCCAGTTCTATTACTGCATGTTACGGGTGATCTCATACAGATTCCTATGTCAGAGAAACGCAGATTATTCCTGGCAGACTGTCACAGTGGGAGGGATTTTCTTAGAGTTCTACTGACTCAGTTATAATTCAGACCATCAAAAGTAGGAGCCGAAATTGTCAGTATTATCAATGGGATTAGGTAGATGCTTATGATGAGCAGCTTAGAACAGATATTAGAGGCACATAAAGTTCCTAAAATGGGAAGTATGAGAATGCTTCATGGAAACCAATAGTGTTGGCGCTTTAAATTACTCCATCTCTGGCTGTTCCTGTTTTGTGATTCAGAAACTTCATTCCCCTTTTGAGAAAATAATTTCATTAATACTAAACACAGTGCTAATACTGTTTAAATGAAAAATAGGATATTTAGATATTTCTAAGTATTCCTGCCATAGTGTATGCAGTTTGAGAGGGTTTTTGTTTAGGGTTTTTTAATTTATTTTTTTTTAATCGCATAACCTCTAAAAAGAACTTAATAAGCCAGTGTGCGTTACTATAGGTAAGGATTTGCTTTTAGATTTAATAGGAACCAGGTTTATTTGACAGTATGGCAAATCCCGTTCATAGTATTTATTTTTTTCCTTTCTTTCACTGAATTTGTAGCTAAGTATAAAAAAAAGGCAGCTAAGCCTTCTGAATTCACAAATATATCACAATTTCCAATTTCTGTTTATCATAAGAAAGGGGAATAGCTGACAGAATTCTGCCTGAAATGGAGAACTGAGAAGAAATACTGCTTAGTTGTCAATACCTATTTTAAAAAATACCAAATGGTTTATATTAAGGAAAATGCCATATATGCTAATAAATTTTTCATCTGTGTAGGCTCAGCTGGAGTTGATAAAAAAGCTTGAGGTAACCTTAGAACGTGCGGTTCAGTTGGGAGACCCCGATGTGATCCAGGTTGTCTGCGCAACCCAGTGGAATCTCTGCCTGCCTCTGCTCCAGCACAACCTGCACCAACGTGTGCGGAGGCCGCTGATGGCGGTGGCTGATGTCCTCGAGGAGGTTGACAGGTACCCGTCTGTGCTGTGTGCTGTTAATTCCTTACTCCGACAGGCCTAATGACTGAGCACCAGACTCATCTAAAAACTCAGGCTCTGCGATGTTAAGTGCCTTTGAAAATTTTCCACTATTTTGTAATAAATTAACGTCTGCATATTGCGAACGTTTCCTTGTTAATCATTTAAATATAGGTCCCTTTAAGGCAAAATCTCACTCTGTTTAATGGCCCATAGCAAACAGAGACATTTGTTAGGAACTGAAAAACACTATAGTTAATCAAAAGTGTATGAGAAAATTCCAAACCTGCAGTATGAGTAAATGTGTTGGAAAGTGGTTTAGATTCTTGTATTAACATCACTTTCGTTGGTTAAAAACATACAATTCAAAAATTACCTTTAAAAAACATCACGGCTTCTGCACTACGTATCAAATAAGACTTCTTGTAAGGTACTATTTTTGTATCTTTGGTGATACTTCTTTTTAATTAAAAAACCTACTTTATTAAGAAAATATTTTTTAATAAATAATTTTTTAAAAATTTATATTATTCTGTTTGCTGTTATGCTGTACTTAAGCTTAAGAACCTAAGTAGCTTCACCTTTCCTATTAATTTGAGTGGAACAAGTAAACCTTGGTATGAGGTACTTGGTGAAGTCTGGACCATGCATCGGCTGACCAAATGCTCTCTGAGTAAGAGCAAAGACCGTGACCTTTGTGGTAGAGCGAGTTACCATCGACATTATTGTCATTTAAGCAGAGCAGTTGGTGGCTTCTGATAGAAGTATTACAGAAGAGGGCGAGGAATATATTTTCAGTGTTTTTAAAATGTAATTTTTTAGTTGCATGAAGAGGAAAGAGCCTGGAGAAGAGAAGGCTCCGGCGGGACCGTAGAGCACCTTCCAGGACCTGAAGGGGTACAGGAAAGATGGGGAGGGACTCCTTATCATGGAATGTAGTGATAGGATGGGGGATAATGGTTTTAAACTGTAAGAGGGGAGATTTAGATGAGATATCAGGAAGAAATCCCTCCCTGTGAGGTGGTGAGGCCCTGGCCCAGGCTGCCCAGAGAAGCCGTGGGTGCCCCCTCCCTGGCAGTGCCCAAGGCCAGGTTGGACAGGGCTTGGAGCAGCCTGGGCTGATTTTGGGTGTCCCTGCCCATGAAGGGTGGAACAGATCATCTTTGAGGTCCCTTCCAACCCAAACCATTCCATGATTCTATGATTCCATTAAAAAGACATGATAGTGAACATGGGAAAGACAAGTAAGTTAAAAAGGGACTATTTTCAAACTGGAGTCACTTTCAATTATTGAGTTTCACTTTGGGGTAATTTTTACGTGTAAGAATTTTAGTTTGCCTCATTTTAACAGTTTACATTTAAATCCATATTCCTTAGCATGTTGATTTTGTTGCGTTGCCAAGTTCACATGGAAATAGCTCGTATTGAAGAAGATGGGGATAGAATAGAGGCGGCTATGAAACATTTGCAAAAAGCTGTACATCTGAACAACGGTGGGCCGTATCAGGAACATCTCAGAGTGTCTTTAAACCGTCTCCGTGTATACGCTATGCTGCACAAGTCACCTGAGCATCCAGAGGATTGGGCAGGAATGATGATTGAACAGGTAATCATGAAGAATAAGGGTGGCAGCTGGAAAACGTTTGCTTATTAAATTCTGGCAGAGGAAAGCCAGCTGTTCCGTAGAACCACACATCTGTAGAGCCAGCATCCACCTGCTTTGTTACCTTGAAAACCTCTGATTCTCTCTGTGGTGATCGTGCTGCTTCACACTCTGAAGGCTGCAACGGAGGATTTTTTCCAGTTGTGTTCAAAGCTTAATTCTTAGGAGGGGAGCAGTGGACAAATAACTCAGCATCCTCGCTGGCTTTGAGATAAATCAGTGTTGTGTCACACTTAGAGTCACCTTGTCAAAAGTTATTGCATCTAATTCTGTTGTGGTGCCTGCACCTGAACAAAAGTCCTATTGGCAGCTGGTTGTTAGCTGGCGAAAAGAAGTTTCAGCTCTACACCATTCTGGGATATTGACAGAAATTAGGATGTGTTCACATAAATTAGGATGTGTTCCCAGAACTCAAAATCAGTAATGCAAAGCAGTTGGTGAATTGGTACGTCTACTGTTACGACAAAGACAAGGGAACTTTATTTTTTTCCTAATTTTAATGCTTTTCCATACATCTCACTCTGTTTAAATGTTACTTATTAATTATTAAATTCACTTAAACCTCCCCTAACTTTAGCTAATTCTGAGTGGACTAGGGATTTTTTATATTTTGTAGTGATTGTTGGTTTCTAAATAAATACTGTTCTTTATTTAAGAAAGTATAACATGACAGGTTATACACTGAGGAATATTTTGTAAAGATCTACGAGGAACATGAACAGAACTTTGTATTCATTTATCTTCGATGGATTCATGTCAGGAGCACCCAAAGTTTTAGTCTCTTTCAACAACAATAATACTGCATAACGATACATAAGATATATGAAGATACACAACTCCTATAGGTATTTTTTGGGTAGTACCAAGTTCTATTATCTACATTCTGTTCTGCTTAGTAAATAAGATCTATAAATAGGAATATAATAAAAATGAACCTTATAACAATGAGTTCTTTTCTTTACATAGGCTAAAAAGGGAAAGCAGAAGGATACTACGAGGAAAAATAGGTCCCTTCTGGTAAATGCAGGTCTTGCACTCGCTCCCGATTCATTTAAAATCGTTCTTGACAGTGAAAATGAAGCTAAAGGTAACGCTTGTATGTGTGACTGAAAGGTGCTGCACTGGACTTTGGTTTGCACGGTGTTAAAGTTTGGCCATGGCACTTGGTGGCCTCACACAGAGAACACTGCAGTTCAGTTCTGCCGAATGCTGCAGCGAAGCTCCTGTTGATTTCATTCGGGATCTAAGATTTATTTTGTGATGCTGGGAGAGGAAATGTAACTGCTTTTCCCTCTGAATTTGTCTCAATCTCATTGTTGTGCTGTAGTGTGCTCCGATTTTATTTTCACTGTGTGCAACTCCTGAATATTCTTACCCAAGGTAAATTTAAGTGGTATTTTCAGAAGTTTCACCCTGTAGTACTCTGTTAATTACATACAATACTGGGTGTTCATCCTATGTTATAATTGTATTTCTATTCTAAAATCTTGCTTTTGAGAGTTTGAGTTTTGCAGAGATATCGGCATGAATTCTTTCTTTACTTTCTAAAATGTGGATCATAAATAGGCACACTAACTTACAAGTAAGTACTCGCAGAACTTACAGATACAACAGTCCCACTTCATGCAGTACAGTTTTAAGTACATGAAGATTATTTTGTCGGAAGACATTTTCATGCATGATTTAAGGTAATGAAATGCATTGTATTTGTGCAGTGAAGAGAATTAAAAGCGGGCATGCATTTGTACTTGCTCTTGAATTTTGAGTTGACAACTCTAAAATTATATCCAAACTTTCTCAGAATAGATCTTATTACACAGTAGCCTTCCAAGATAACCCACTTAAATGAACGAGATTATCACAGTATTATGATTATTACAATACTATCTGTTTGACACAACGTTTGGTAAAATTCTGGTTTGAAAGATTTAAGTTGTTAAAGTTGTTGTCACTGAAGAGTGAGATTTTTGCTTTTTCCATGACACTTATATTACCACAGAGTTAAACGTGTTTGTTGAAGGAGTATGAAAATATATATGCAACTCTATTATTAAAATGTACATAGGACAGGACATCACATTTGTAGGGTTGTTTTTTCTGAAAAACAAAGAAAGTTCTCTTTTTCTGAAGAGAACTATGTACTCTTTTAATCCTCCATTCTTTACGCTGCAACCTCGCATGATGTCGCTGTCATTATGTATTATACTGAGCACTTTCACATATCAATCAGTTGATATGTGCATAGTTAGGTAACAAAGCCTTATCATATGCTGGATAATGCACTGCAAAGTATTTTTAACAAAAAACAGTAACAGAAAAAACCCACAAGAGATGCTGGTGGGGTGTGGGTTTTTTCATGTGGGTTGGTTGGGTTTGGGAAAGCTTGGAAAGACAGAAAAAAGGGCAGGATTTCAAGTGTTTCAGAAAGTGGTTATGAATCAAATTTCATACCCTTCCTGGGGATTATTTCACCTCTAATACTTAAAAATGACTTTACGTTATTTTTTCTTTGCTAAGTTTCCCCAGGTAAAAGTAGGAGTCAAATAAGCCACCTCTGTGCAAAAGCACATCATCATATGAAAAGTGTGGAGCAAGCTGAGCAACACTTGAAACGCTTAAGAAATGCAAATGACAGAGAGAGGTAATGGCTGTAGAGAAGCAGCACCTCTTGTGTAGCGGTGTCCCGCAGGAAGGTTTCTGGCTGCGCCGTTCGGTACCGGTGCTACCTGAAAGAGGCCGAGCCCTGCAGGCAGAGCCGCCAGAGCCCGGGGGCAGCCCCCGCGCCCCTCACGTGCGCCGCGCCCCTCACGTGTCCCGCGCGCTGTGTTCTGCCGCTGCTCCTCGTCCGCTGCCACGTGGTCAGCTGTGGGTACGCACGGAACGCAGGGGAAGGAGGGGTCAAGGCTGAGGAAGTCGATGTACAATGGAGAAGTTGCTCGGTGTCTTTTTAGGTCCTTGTACCACATCGGGTGCTACTACTTTTTTGATAGAGAAATGGTGTAGTCCATTCTGAGAGTCAAAGATTAATCCATATGAAAATCACAGGCTTTACTTTATTTGTATGTAACTTTATCATTATGTAAAGGAAAGTGTTTCCTCCTTTTTGCCGCACTAAAAATTCCCACAGTGAAGTTTAAACTAAATTAAACTAAAATATTTGAAATCTGAACTTGTTTTCAAAACTTATTTTGAAGTTCTCAACATCAGTTTTGAAATATTTAGTATAGTTTATAAGATAGATAGTTAGGGGTCCCACACACATCTTGAAATTTCAGTATAGTTACTACTATCCAAAGCAAGAATGTTGTCCCTCTCTTGATATACTGAGGAGATTTAAAAAAAAATAAGAAATGTTCTCTCTTTTACTGATAAGTCTTCCATTTATTAGTTTTCATTATATTTAAAATTTTATTTATGATGGCCATCATTGCTGATGTGATTTTGGTTGTTGTTGTTGATCCTGATGCGTGGAAGATAATCCTGCTTATAAAGAGATTTTATATCTGCTTTTCTTTGGTAGAATTTTACTTTGGGCAGATCTGGCAAAAGTGGCGCGTAAACAAGAAGCATGGGATGTGTGCCGCGCAGCTTGCAGATTTTGTCTCTTGTATGATGATGCTTTGTTTAGGAAGGTTACAAAGCCTGAAAAAAGTAAGTGAACAGATTATTTTGAATGAGGTAAGAGGAACTTTTTGCTCATTTATCAGAGTTACTTGGAGGAGGCAGCCAATATTATTATTTTCTTCCCTCCCATTCCCAAAGTTCCCTAAGGCTCTTGTCCATACATGGGACATTCTTTCTACCTTGGAATCTAGAAACAGGTCGATACATTTCTGTGGTGAAACCATACTTTGCCTTTTGAAGTGTTTCAGCAGTGCTAAAGAAAAGTACTTGTGTGAGATGTATCCACCTGTCTAAGAAAACAGGCTCATTCCTAATGGAGGTCTGGGTGCACAGTACCCATCTCTGTCAGACGTGGTTACCTGGGGAGCTGAAGGGCACTGAAGTATCCAACTGCCTTGTTCATCTGCCGAGAATCGACCACGGTGTAGGAAGATCTCGCTGCAGGGCAAGGGCACTGTCAGACCGCCGGCTGCTTGCTGGCTCTCGCGTATCTCTGTTACAAGTTTGGGGTTTTTTTGCCTGTGAGTCTGTAAAACACACCGTTAAGGATAGGTGGGATTTTAGTGCACACCCTGTTGGCTGCTTTTGTCTCTAGCCAATGCTGATTGAACCAGTCTCACATTTTTCCTCTAGATTGTTTCCAAGATCCATGTAAAACAGGGCATTAACTTACCTGTTTTCTTTCACAAGTTTTGCATCTTCAGGCTTGCCATGTTTCATCTTTCAACTCTTTCAAACTAAAGGGAAAAAGAAGTACTTATGGGAAACTGAGGGCAACCACGCACCAAAAGCATCATTAATAGGAACTGGTGTGTCCTTATTTTTGTTTCACAAGTTTTGCACCTTCGAGGTAAAGACGTCTTTCCAATACTCTGAATGTTTGCAGGGCTTTATGGTTCTGTCTGTGCGAGGCTGAACACTTATCCTGGGTAGGCACAGGTCAAGACACTTCAGCTCTGTTCAGAAGCGTCTCAATCAGGTGGTAACGGGATTGCTGGAGTTGGTTGATGCTGGAAATTCACTGCAAATCAAACAGTGCCTGACCTTGCTGAGGGTCTCCGTTCTCACGAGCTGTGGGGGTCTCCTGGAAGCCCACCCATGCTTTCATTGAGTGTTCCTGTAAATGCAAAGGAGACAGAGCTGCGCTGGGTGCAGCAGCTGAGGTCGTGTGTCCGGGTGGTTTCTGACTGCAGGAATACTGCTCGTACTCAGTGAAATGGGAATGAGCCCGTAGGTACAGCAGGAAGAGAAGCTGAGGGTTGATCTGGAGCTCTCCAAGAACTGTGGGCACTGTTCACTTTCATGTTGCACTTCATTTTTCTTTACTACTGCTAATTCTAGGATTGCTGGGTGAGAAAAATGAGAGATTTTATTTATATACATCATATTGAGGACAGGGCAAAGATGATTGTTGTAGTGCGAAGGCCAATAATTCAAGATGTTCTAGAGGTACATAGAAAGAAAATACCAGTTCCTATTAATGTTGCTGGTGGTGTGTAATTGTCCTGAGCTCCTGGTAAAAGCTTGTTTGTGATTTGGAAAAGAAATGGGAGGGGAAATGTGGGTAGTCTGGAGAAAGTAAAAAAGGAGTTTGGTCCAGGAGCAATCCAGTCAGATTATCAGACTGTAGGATTTAAGAAAATAAAACCATGACTTTTAAACAGAAGTTATAAGGTTTGGAATATCAAAATATGGTTTAAAACATTAGACAAAGATACATCAGGAGTATTGAACCTGATGGGTTGAGCAGAGCCTCTGGTTCAGGAGATTGCTTGGATAGAGATCCTGAAAAACCCTGAGGATGGGCCAGGAAAAATCAGCTTTGTGTATCCTCCTTTTTCTGCCTTTCCTCCAGCACCCGCTATTGGCCAGCGTCCATGTTAAAATAATTCTGTGTTCAAGTTAAAATAATCTCGGTCCTTTCTCTTCATTGTTAAACAAAAGAAATATAATGCTATTTTTCTCTTTATTGATGTTTGCGTTGCCAGAAAGTCAACCCCATCCATGATTTAAACACACTGAGATTTTAGCTGCTACACAATATCTAGCACTCCATTTCCAATCAAGCAATAAAATTAGGGCTAGAGGCCCTAATTAGGAAAATTACGAACTAGAGGCCATGGGTTATGTTCATATCAATGTAATTTCAGTATGCTTGTTACGACTGGAGCAAGTTATTTGCTGCAACTATTGAAGTTAACGCACAAATGCAGCAAAATCTCAGGTAACCAACACCTCTACACTCAAACCCCATTCTTCTCAAGCAGTGCAATAAATTGTACTGATAAAAAAAATTAAATCTGTACTTGTTAACTTGTGGATTTAAGAATGCGTAGGGATTTTTAAATCTTAAAATAAAGGTTTTTGTTTTTTCCTGATTTGTGTGGTAATAATAATGGATTTATCTGTTTGTTTTTAGCAAAGAAGAAAGCCAGTACAGCTGCGATGGGTGATGATCACGGTGACAGCTCACGAGGAGAATCATTGCTGCCCGCTAAATCCTTCTCTTTTGAAAGAGATTTACTCAGAATTTTAGCAGAAATAAGATTCATTACTGCAGAGGTAAATAAATTACACAGCTGCCAATCGTATTTGTTTCATTTAGTTTTGTTACGTATAATTTTATGTATAAATCTTAAAGCACCAGAATTTTGTGTTTTATTGTTGTCTATTTCCACAGGAACTAAAAGAAGCAGTGGTTTCATGAAGCACCTTTATCAAAGTGCTGTGTGAAACCGCAGCAGTGGTTTCACTGCAGGTGGTGATAACACATTTTACAAGGGATTCTATTGTAATGCAAATGTATTTTTTCATTTTCGAAGAGGTAACGACACCCATGCTACGTCACAGTCTATTTTCACAATGATAACCTGAGTAGAAAGGTTATTTGTCTTTATTTTCCAGGCAACTGTTCATCTGTTAAGACTGCAGGGGATTGAACTGAACGATGGTCCTGTACCTCCAGACACAAGTCAGCATCGTCCCGGATGTGATCCACAGCCTCCCGAGAGCGATCCAGAGTGGAAAACTTACAGGTGCTTTTCTTCATTGTACAACAAGCCCTAGGAACTCTAATGGGTTGTTATCATCACACAGATAATTGCAGAAGTTGTGTCTTCTTAGTAAAATTCATTGTCACCAGATGGTTCATATTTTTAGGTAGTCATGGTAATGGGAAAAGGAAAATAATCTTAAAAGGAAGTAGTTTGAAATAGTTTTCCTTAGTTTGCTTTCATTCTGGAAAGTGCATTTTATTTTTCATTCATGTTTATTTCTCTGAAACTAGGAGCTAGTATCTCAACCTTAAAACTATTAAATACGTGTTTTATTGACATTTAGACCATGAAATTCTATATTCAAAAATACATTTCCTCAAATCAAAAACCCTCCTTGTCTTGCTTGTCTTCATCTAGCTCCTATAACTGTGATGTCAATGTACCCAAATATATACAATTAATTAATTACTCCAGTTTGCAAAACCAGTCTGTTCCATCCAGCCAACTGAAATGATAAGAGTAGAACAGAGCAAGTATTGGGTTTTCCTGGTCTCGCACAATTATTTCTTGAAAAGGAGGAGAGGGAGGATTCTGAAGCTGATATTTAACTCTCTTGTTCACATTCATATAGTTTTAGCCTTACTGTGACAGTGGTCATGTCCTGAAAGAGCTGGGTGCCAGAGTTGTGTCCCTACGTCTGTTCAGTAAATCTGAATATCAAGTGAAGTTTATCACTGTCTGCTTGCCGAGTGTTCAGTAAAATGGGAAAAGGTATAAACTGATCAGAACCAAAGGACAAGGAGGATCCTGTTCCAAAATTTGTGGCTAAGTTGTTTGAGTTTACCCAATTAGATGAAAAGTGCAGGAAAAAAGCACTTTGCTCTACGATGTCATTGTTGACATAGTCGGGTTTTGCTTTTGGTTTTGTGACTTAATTCTGTATTTTTAATATTGCTTTTTCTACATAATGGTACATCTTGATAATTAAGAAAAAAATGAAGTTATTGAAAGAAAATTATTGCACAGACTATGAGAAAGTCATTATTCTATAAGAATGAATTTAGCCGTTCAGAACATGTGGAGATACCTTTGACTGCAAGAACACGTGCAGTTGTTAAGTGAAAAAGAAACCTCAACACTGTGTTCAAGTAGAGCCCTGTCATGGATATTTAATGATTTCCACACTGATTTGTAGATTCACACGTGCATTTAAAAAAATAAACATGGGGGTGAAGCACAACTGTAGCCACTGCTTTTTAAGCTAATAGCACTTGAGTGTCAGAGACGATTTGCTTCATGTTGATACCCATTCCTTTCCTGAGTTCTCTTCTCATCTAAGTAAAATATGAGTTAATGGATGAAGACTTAGTAAATACAACTGAAAACTAGTTAAAGTGTGGGTTTTGATGGAGATGTACTACTGCATATTTAAACTTATGATATAATTTCTTGTAGTGTTGAAGTTTTGGAATAACAGCTTCTTTATAACAATTCCATAGTTTATGGATTGACGGCTTATCTCAGTATGCAATGGAAAACTTTCAGCGTGCAGCCGAAATAGGAGAAGAACTGAACGAAGCCTGGATGGTTCACAACACCGTGGTGTACGTCTTGAACTACAACAGACACCTCATCTCCTCAGGAAGACAGAGGGGAATTATTTCCTATCTGCAGACTCTTCTTGGAGCCATCAGAGCTGTTGGGCACGATGGGTAAACTTTGATTTTTGGTTATGAACATGATCTTGGTTTTTCCTAAAACAGAAAAAATTAGTTTTACAAATATTATAAGTCACTTTGTGCTGTGAAAGATTTATTGCTGGCTTTTATTAGTAATAGAAGGACTTTGGTATATACAGAGTAGTTCAGAAGATAAATTTAATGTCGTGGTGTGAAAATGACTTTTTAATCCTTTCTATTTGATCTTTGTTATTATTCACTGTAAGCCATATTAACTTTAGACTAAGCAATAATAATTTCTCTTCATTGTGGGGTAGCAACACATGTGAAATAGCATTTTGTTAAGCTAGTCAAAAATACTCGGGAAGATTTCCTAGCCTGTGTGTTTGCAGGACAGCTCAAAATGTGTTTGCTTGCTGTCAGCTGCTCTGAGATTGAATTATATTGTAAATATTATAGTTCACTGTGCATATTTCTCATCAGAGTAAGGTTGTGAAATATGAGAGAGAAGAGGAGAAAAAAAAAAGGGTATGTGCACATTAGAGACCATGGAAATGAAACATTGGCTCCAGAGGAGTGCAGAGAGGTCCTGTTCTGCAGCCAACACAGTGGGAGAGTGGCTGACGTGGTCTGGTGGGGGACAAAACCCCCAGAATGGGCCTGTGCCTGGCAGCGAGCTCAGCCCAGGGCAGGCTGTGTTGGAGAGCAATGCTTTGAGCACGGCTTTGATGGAGGTGGGGATACTCCCTTGTTAATGCTGGTATTTACATTAGCTTGTATCAGCAACGAACTCTTGGGGATAATTCTGTTTGTGTTTTACAAGAAATGTATTTGAAATAAAGGTAATTCCAGCTCAACAGCTGATGGCATGAAGAGTAACACAGTGCCATCAGTAAATGGGTTTATGTGAGGAGGTTGGCTTGGGTCAGTTTTTCAGGAAATCGTTATTTTTGTTTTCTTCTACAGAAGCACTGCGATTTTATTGATGTTATGCGATGCTTTGGCTCGGGGCTTAATTCTCTGTTGGATCCCAAAGACAGAACTCGCTGAGAAGGAAACAAGAGATGCAGCAAGAGACAGGAACAGAAGAGCTTCAATGAAGAAACAGGAAAAAGCAAATGTCATCCAGCCTCTTTCTGTGGATCCCAGTGGACTTCCTGATATCAAAGCTGCCTTAGAGGTACAAAGTCCTCATTGTTTGTAGTCTTTTTTGGTCTGCTGTCATGTATTACAATTCATATACATAACTGTAGGGATTTTTGCAATAAATAAGCTACCATCTTTTACAGGGCCTCCACAGGTCCTCCCCAAATGCACAGTGAGCCTGAGTACTGTAACCCCTCTTTGCCTATGGGTTGAACACAGAGAGATGTTGTTGTCTTAGAGATTCATGTGCAGTGATTTTCAATTAACTCATGGGTGGCATCTTCCATACAAACAGCTTCCCGCGTTTCTCCCGTGTTTCAGTCTTTGTTTTTTTCTTCTTGGTGTTTAGATTTGTGAATTTGCCCTCAATGTGGCAACTGGAACCGCCCCTCATGAAGCAGCACCTCTTGCAGCACAGCAGCGGGTCATTGCTACGTGGGTGAAAGCAAAGCAGTTACACCAGCAGCAGACTGGGCATCGGCTGAGGACAGAGGAGGAGGTATCATTTCCCTGAAATCCTGTGTCATGGTGAAACCTATCTTTGAAAAATTGAATTCATAAATTCATTTAATAGTGCCTGAAATTGTCAGTGTTTATTTTCTTCTCTGTATTTAAATAAAATGTGAAAATAAATGTTGGCTGTAGTTCCCATAAATATTAACAGAATACAGCAAATTTTTCACATTGGGCATAGCAGTGAGTCTACATTTCTGAACTGTACCTTTTGTTGTGAGCGTAATAATAATTATGGTGATGTTTGTTATATGATGACTGTAACAAAGTTGGGTTTGAATTAATACATTTAAGATAAAAAAATGGCTACATTAAAAATGCTAAGAAAAACATATTTATATCAACATCTAATACGGTCAATTTATATATAGAATATGGACCTACTAAGTTGGAAATAATTATTTTATGCCTATCTTTTTACTTTATTACGTCTATAAAACCAGAATCCCTCAGTGATACATGGAATTTACAATCATTGTGTTGTTGGTATGGTTTTTTAATGTTTAAACTGTAGTACTTCAGAGTTCACAATGTTAATTACAGGTAAGTAAGTACATAAAATCCCCCATATTAAGGCCACAGTAAAGACAGGAAGATGTGCTTAATGCAAATTCAGGTTTTCAAACGTAGTTGTTGTTATCTTGTTATCTCAATTAATGTCTTTAATAATACTTGAAAAATACTTGAATAATACTTGAAAAAAAATAACCTGTTAATGTGAATTTTTTATTTCTGTTTAGAATGATGGTGAAACACGAAATCCTGCAGCAAGTATTCTTATTGGCCTAGAAATGTATTCATGTAGTGGCTTGGGTCTCATGGATTTCACTGTTCCTAGCCTATCTCAGGTATTCAGTTCTGGTTTATTAGCTCTCAAGTTTTAAGGAATTGCATTGTACAAATGTGATTTCAGCTTCAGTTTGGGATGGAGGCAAAATTAATTTTGAAACTTTTGTACTGTAGCATTTATTTCATTTAAAACTTTCGAAGAGAGAGAATTATTATGAGAGGTAACAGATTTTTGTGACTGAATATTTTCTTTTATCTAAAAACCAGATAGCATTAGAATACCAGTATTAGAGTTAGATTCAGTATTACAATTACCATGTTGCTGTAACAGTTTACTTCCATAACCATCAGGTGACTTCTGTACAGAACCTTGCTTCTGACCTTTTGTTTTTTATGGAGAAAACTTTATAGAATCATAAAATCATTGGGTTGGAAAAGGCCTCTGACACCATGGAGTCCAACCATGCCCTGTCACCACTGACCATGTCCCTCAGCCCCTCATCTCCATCCATTGACCCCCTCCAGGGATGGGGACTCCACCACTGCCCTGGGCAGCCCCTGCCAGTGCTGAGAACCCTTTGGGGAAGAAATTTCCCCTCAGATCCAACCTCACCCTCCCCTGGCACAACCTGAGGCCGTTTCCTCTTGTCCCATCCCTTGTTCCTGGGTAAAGACCAACACCCACCTCACTGCAGCCCCCTTCCCATTCTTGCCTTTGGCTGAACTAAACCAGGCCCTGAATTTCAGGAGTCTTGTTCCAGTGATCTGCAGAGGAGCTCTGAGGACATACAGTAAGTCCTGGCAGACACTGCTGCTCAAGACATGCATGCTTACAGCTGGATTTACCTACGCTGTTATAACATTATTACAGGGTGAATGTTGCATCTCTATTGTCTATTTTGGTTGTTCTTGAAAGTCTTTGGTTATCTAGATTGATTCATCACATACGTGTACTGTGTCCAGGTGGGCTGTATGGAAGGTGCAGCTGTAAGCATGTAAGTGTTACAGAAAAGAGTATGATAAAAACCTGAGCTTAAACTCTTTATTTTCCAGCTGGTGAAACTGGCTCTGGAATGCCGCTGGTCAGATTCCTTGGTGGAACTGCAGACGCTGACACGACTGACGTACTTTGCGTATGTCTCTCACGACCATGATACAGTAATGACTTGTTCCAAAAGGATCTTGCGATCAGATGAGCATTTTTTCCACAGCAGAGATAGTAAGAAATACGAAATGTAAGTATGAATAAATTGAAATTTCGTGTGATACTGTGATATATTTAACTAAGTTTTGCAGGAAGAGTAAATAGGGCAAGTGCATCTGATCACATAATCAAAGTGAAAGAATCTTTTTTACAAAGAAACTACGGAGTGAGAGGTGAAAGGAAAATGTTACTGTTTCTGCTGACACTGTCACTGCCCGGTACTGAGGCACCGCAGATGAGGCTGGAGCTCTGCGGTGCAGCCTGAGTTAAAGGCAGCGCAAGGTCCAGATGGGGGCTCTGGACCTCATTCATTAATTTGTTATCCGAGTGACTCACCGTGTTGTTTTATGTGCGTTTGAGCGTCTTCTGGGGATAACAGCTTTTCTGAAATGGCCTTTTCACACTTCCATAATTTCCAAGCAGAAAGTAGCTTACTCCAGTTCTTTTGCCGATGTGAACTGGTTCCAGTGCTGAACTGGTTTAACGCACACAGGGTCCACACAGGGCATGGAACAAGACGGAGCTGTGAGGGACCAGAGGTGACACAGCTGTGTCCCAGATGGCTGCTGCGTGCCAAGCTCTGGTGTCTTCATGTCTGAAGTCCTTGTGGTCTTTAGCACTGCCTGTGCATGTGGGTGCAGCAGCAATGCAGCTCATTTCTTTAAAACCCAGTGTCGTACTTAACTGATCATTTAAACTGATCTCAAAGAAAAATATTTAATAGGTTTTGTACATAAACTGGTCTGTTGGTGAAGTCCTTTATTACAAAAAGGTGATATTCTTCGATCCTCCTTATTTTTTACTTTATTTCCTCCAAAAACAAAATGTAATTTTATAAAAAGAATCAACTTTATCAACTTTATCAATTTTATCAATTTTATAAAAGGAATCAACTCCACTTATTAAGAATTTGTTGGAATGTTGGAAGTTTGAAATGTGAACATGTGCAAATCTAGCAGTCTGCAAACCAGTGAATGAGGAAACGTTTGATTATCTGACAATGAAATGTAGTCATGGGTTGTCAATGCTACTTCCAGAGAAGAGGAAGATAAACTTGCTCTTCCCATGGTAGAGCACAACCGGAGGACAGAGAAGGGTTAAATGTGTAACTGGCTGTGGTTTATTTGTGCTGTGGGGCACTGCTGCCCTCTGGTGGGCACAGCTCGCAACCGCAGGAGGGCTCTGCAGGGGCCGTGTTTCTGTATGAGACTGCACATCGCAACTAAGACATTAAAAAAATCTTACAAATGCTATTACTTTTCTTACAAAACCACTGTTAACCAAACAAAGTAAATTTATTTACTTACTTATTTTTAACTGATTAACTGCTGGGACCAAAATATACTTTCTTTTCTTTTAAATGTAGTAGAATATGATCAAAATCAGTTTCTCCAGAGCCCTGTGCATACTTTACCAACATAAGTGAGACCAAGTCCAAAAGAAATGTCAAAAATTGTCTAATTTTCCCTATTTTTGTTTTTAATTGCTTGCCATGTAAGTTTGACTTTGAACTAGCATTTTCTTTGATGTACAATAGTGAATAATGGGGAGAAAACCCCAAATCTATTTTCTCCCCTTGCTAAATGTATATAACATCTTAAAAATCTAATTTCACAGTTACTTTCATTAGATCTGTGAAAAGAATATTTTATTTCTGATATATTTTCACAAAATGTTCAGTTTTTCAGATGTTTTCTGATTTTAAAAGAAAAGTCAGTAGAAGCATTTGTAACTTCCAGAGCCAGGAACATCTATTTAGTGATGCCTCGAAAGCATCGTTAATAGGAGCTGCTGTGTTCCTAGACTGTCAGACTAGCGCTTCTTGAACTATTTGCCTTTATTCAGGCCTGGTAACAGAGTGAGACAAGAAATGTTAAGCACCACTGCCTGTATACAAGGAAAGAGCATAATGGAAAACTTGTCTGGAAGAAAACATCTGCGAGTAGCAGCATCAAAAGCGTTTGTTCAGAGTGTCAGGTATGTTTCATTTTGATAGAAGACCAATGTAACACAGACCTAAAATTGGATGTACAGATTTGGGGATCTACATATCCTCGATCTTGGCTGGAGTGTGACTGCTTTCCTTCATTGAGCTGCACTTTGCTTTCTTCAGGTACGCAGGGGAAGCCGGAAATTATTCCCTTGTAATGTTTGCAGCCAGACACTTCTGGAACACGTGTTTACACCTGCTAAGTTCTCCCCGTGACAGAGAGCAGCTTAAAGAACCTACTGAAGTAATTCTTAGGAATATAATTAAAGCAGAATCTAAAAATAAACAGGTAAGAATATCTAATAGGTGCTGTTAATCGTGCTTGTGTTTAGAGATTGGTAATGGTGGTTCCATTTAGTGCTTTGGTTTTAGACAATTATCAGACTTGCAACCGTTCTCTTCAAAATAATTTGCGCTCTGAAGGGCTGTAGTGTTTCACTTTGTGAAGCTTTAGAAAGGGAATGCGTAGAAAATACTCAACACAAAATCCAGAAAAAAAATTGTTCACTTCTGGAAATGATGATACTAGAACAGCCGAGCTGTGTGGGGGTCCTGTGGAGCTGTGGAGGGATTCTGTGGAGTTCAGGGGGGTCCTGTGGAGCTGTGGGGGGGTCCTGCAGAGCTCAGGGGGGTCCTGTGGAGCTGTGGGGGGGTCCTGCAGAGCTCTTGGGGGTCCTGCCGACCCAGCTGCTCTGCGATTCTCTGCAGCGAGGTTCAGGATTTCCCGTTATTTAATCAGCAGCACTGAACGTCCCTGAGCCTGGTTGTTGCTGTGTTGGTTGTGTGTTGCAGAACTCATTCTGGAGAAAAAGCTGTGGTTTCCATCTCCTGCACAAGTGCTGTTTAAGTAACAGGTTAACAGTTCATATTAACCACAGTAATTGGTTTACAGATGAAACAAGTACAGTAATGCTTAAAGACATGTAAGACACGTGTTAACAACAGATAAAGGAAGTTTTTGTCTTTTTTTGTCTTTTTAGGAGAAGAACGATACAGTGCCTTTGCATCAGTGGATTACAAAGGATTTTCAGAATATAGGGTTTTCAGTTGGATGTTTTCTTCCAGGCATGTTCTTCTTTCTTTTGATCTGGTAATGTAAGAAAAGCCCAGTATTTTTAAATATAATTATTCTAATTCTGCAGTATATTAATAAATCATTTGAATACACTTCAAAGGTGCTGAGGAAGATCTGACATTAAGAACCTCCTTATATGGGTTATTATTCCATATAAATGCTGATAAAGCTGATTGGGAAACAGCCCTAAAAGTCCTGGATGAAGCCATTCGAGTTTTGCCTCACACGAGACACAGGCTGTAAGTTGGCTGACTTACTTTAATTAATGTAAGCATCCTGGTACTTGAGGAATATAAAACTTTGAGTATGTTTTTTATTGTGCATTGGGAAAATACTGTGATTAGGTTTTGTCAGTTCTTATGATAGAAAACATCGTTGTGTCTTTTCAATGAAAAAGGCATATATTGGCAGTGCTTCTTAATCATTAATCTGTCCATAATATTTATAAATTTCATTGTTTTGAAACTGGTATATAAGTAATACCTTACTTTTCCAAGAAAATAGGTGTACAATATGTGGCTATATAGCAGAAACTTTAGTTTTCTTAGCTATAAACCCATCTATGTTGAATGAAAACTCAGTTATGTAGGTACTGTTGACATCTGAGCACAAAGATTTATGGACTTTATTTCTCTATACTATACTGATATGAACTGGTATTTCTATCCTCACAAAGTTTCTTTGCAGGTACAGATGCAAATAATTTGCACTTTTTTTTTTGGTCTTTTTCTAGCCTGATTTTTAAACATATGGTTACAGTGAACGCAGAACTGGGACACAGTTTTGCGATGGAAATTCAGAAATTCAGAGACGAGGGTGAGGATTATTTGTCCCGTATGTGGTGTCACTTGGTCACGGTCTCCAGAAGCGTTGTGGGGCAGCTGAGCTGTTTTCAAAGCGCGATCACTGCTCTACAGGTTGGTCAGTTCTCACCGTGTGTTCGGGTGCCCAGTGGTGTCTGTGGTGTAACTTGTGCGAGGTGTGGGACTGAACAAAGCACTCGACTGTTACTTCTTGTATCTTTGAAAATGCTTTTCAGTTGGAAAACTCAGCATAGTTGAACCTCGGTATCCAGCAAAGGTTCAGTTGACTCCTGTCAAAGAAAATTGTCTAAGCATAGGCAATTCCAAGACGTTTTGATAAAGCAGGGAATTAACTGGTGGAGTTTTCTGTTGCCTTCTGTTTAGCATAACTCTGATTACGTGATGCCAATAAAACTGCGCACTGTCAAATTATAAATTTTTGCTTAAGATTGTATTGAAGTTTTGAATATCAGTTTGGTGGTTTATGTCACCAAATATAGAAGAACTCTTCCTTTATTACTTTTATAGAAACAAGAAAATGAATGGCAGAAAGTTGATTATCTGATGGAATTTGCGGAATGGCTATACTGCAACCAGTTTCCCCTCAGTGAAGTTATTAAACCCCTGGACTGGGCGGTAGATCTCTTGCTACAGATGGAAGTTTCTCTGGAGTCCTCACAAGGAGAAGGTACGTACAGGGATGAGCTTGAGCTGTCCTGGACTTGGTTGGCATTGCCCCCTCTGGAACTGGATCACTGCCTGTTTTGGGAACGAGCGCTGGCCAAACAGGCGTCTTGCGTCTGCGCTGCGGTGGTGAGGACGAGGTCTTTGGCCAGCGTGGAAACCCCTGCGTCTGGACCAGGAGGAGTTTTAATCTGACTCAGCACTGCCTAAGTGGCTGAGACAAACAAGTCAGGCTGTCTTTCTCACAGATTTGTTCTCAAAAAGACATAGCTAAGATGTGCTTACTGTGGATTTCATTTCTGTAAGACTTACATCATGCAATGTACATAGATGTTACATTATTCCTTGAAAACTTGGTACAAGTAGTATTGCCTCACCATAAGAACATCATCTTCACTAGATGGATTTCCATTTTTCTGTTCTGTTTTGGTTTTTTTTTCCATAAATATTTTCATTTTCAATTCAGAAATTTTAACTTTTGAATTCATTTTGAAAATACTGTCACTGCAAACACGTTATTTGTTTTTTTTTAACAGACAAAAATACTGTACCAAAATTTTCACCTACAGAAAATTCGAAGATAAACATTGGAGCAAATGGCACCATACCCCAAATTAATTTGGAATATTTGAGTAATATTAAACAATTGGAAGCTTTGTTCAGAGCACAGACATTAATGGCTTTCATTTCTGGTCATGGTTCTTGTTTTCATCAGCAGCACTGTCTGGTGGCTTATGCTTGTGTCATCCGCATCTGGCAGGTGAGACTGTATGATAGGATAGGATGTAACATTATATTATAATCATATTATTATAATGTGGCCAATATATTTCAGGTTATATTGTGTAATTATGGTGCCAGCTATTAATTTGATGTTTTAACTACATCTTCAGAACGTTCATTTTAATGATATAGTTAGTATATTTTCTCAGGTTTTAGGATTAAACAGAGAAGAGACATTAAGGATAAAAGCAGTGGCCCGGCATTTCTCTGCAGTACATTTGTGCTTCTTGTGCAAAAGGCTCTAAAATTTAGAGGTTTTAATTTGTCAATGAATCTTAGTAGCAGCAGTGCAGATGCTGGAGACAGGGTGACAGGAAAGGTCATCACAGATTGTAATTGCACTGTGAGGAACGGCAATTACAGACGGGCTCTCGCTTGGGCTGAATCCAAGGGGCTGAGAGGAGCTGTGCCACACATCCAGGTGCTACGTTCTGAGAAAACATATAGACAGGCACTGTGCAGCACATATTATAACAATATGAGTAAATCTAAACTTGATAACAGTAATAGCACAAATCATAGTGCTATGGATAGGGCACATCAAATAGATAGGGGAGCTATAGCTTGTGCATAATTCCAGTTAGCTGTAAAAGCCTGCAATTTGTTACTCCTGTGGTAATTATGATCAAGTTTTCATTGTGAAATCAGTTTAGACTCCCAACATTTGATGGAAGGCAGGAATTTGAAAACTAAAAATTGAATATTGGTGTTTTCAGATTTTGCATAAGCATAATTTTTAATATTCTGCACTTGACTGAGTGTCTTACTAGAGAAAAGAACATCTGAAAGGAGTGTTACTATTTGAATAAACTATTAACAATTCATAAATGAAGAGTTAACGCAGCTGTCAGTGCCAGTTCTAATTCTAAGAGCTCATGTTTAGAGCTGAGCAGTGCTGTGAGGAGAAGAAAAACCAAGTGGCACCAATGGAGCTGCAGGACACCCCAGGACACCTCAGCCCTGCTCTGGAGCACGAATAAGGCAGCCTTGGCTGCAGAGGTCCCTTTCTATAACTCAGTAGCAGATATCATGATGTCCTCTGATAAATAATCTGAGCCAAATCAGCTAAAGACAGGTTACCTTTAATTTGAAATTCTCATAAGTTGTGCAGCATCTAGCACCATTTTTTGTTCATGTTTTGTGTTCTGCTCTTGATCTGTCCAGCTAAATACATTCATCATCTCAAATTAACCTGGTTTTGTAATTATTTATTTTAGGTAAGATCAGAAGCTGTGCTATTGCTTGCACAGAGAAATTTTCCATAGATGCATTCATATGCTTTAATATTTGTAACATTCATTAGTAACTTGATAAAAGACTAATCCAGAAGGAGCACAGAGTCTTTGCAGTCTTGCAGATGACTGATATGAAATCCATCCCTTGTAAAGGATTTAAGCAATCCAGACTAGCAGTCTGAAAAAAAGAACTGGATTTGCAACCATCTGGGTTAAATGTGGCAGTGGGGTTCACCAGAGGGATGATGTAATTTTGGATGGTGCATTGCCACCATCACCGCAAATGTGCAAATGATGCAAGCACCCAGGGGCCTGAAAGTTTAGTTTTCTGAAGGAAGCTCTAATGCAAACATAACCTGGGTATGTGACAACTGTTAATAGCTGTAGATAGTGACTTGCAGTGAATAATCAGTGCTAGAAAGTGACATTACTAGTGAAAATTGTAAGTAATTAACTGCAGTTATTTTATTGTCTAGGTATCGTTGTCAGCATCAGGACCTATTGCAAAAGCATTATCAAAGTCTTCACAACCTACAGTTCCTCAGAAAGTGCAGTCAACAATTACACTTAAAAAAGAGAAAGGCAAAAAGAAAGAGAAACAGGTAAAACCCCTCTCCTGTGAGATCTAAACAATTAAAACATTTGTTACAGGTGCTCTCATAACCTGTGAGGAGCTTCTCTGAGTCTGTGTCCCCCCTGCACTCCCGATTGCAAGGACCTGGTGCTCATCAATCAAAACTACTGCTGATTGTAAAACCCACAGTCCAGAGGTCCAAAAAAGCACAAAACTTCAAAGGATATTAAGCAGATACATTGGGGTTTTTTTATGTTGGCTGAATATTTTAAAATGTTCATTTGGCCTCGTAAACATCCTTATTTTTTATTACAGGTTGAAGTTTCTGTTGTGAAAGAGACGCCTAAAGGGAAAGGACCAGTGGATACCTTACCAGCAAATGTGGAGGAATGGGCTCATTATGACTGTCCCACTGAAATCAGAGAGGCTTTTAAACAGAAAACAAATAGTTATGGTATTAACTGGGATAATTTCCCAAAACCTGTACGTATACTCCTTAAAACTCCAGAGCATCTATTATTTAGGAAAAAACACAAGTAATAGCCAACTATGTTGCATTTGAGTTTCTGTCTGTGCAATAACGAGTATGCTTGGAACTGAAGATGTAATCATAAATTTAACATTTATTCTCTACAAAATGATGTTTATATTGTTTGAATTTTTAAAAAATTTCTTTTCAGACTCACACTTTGTATTTTATGGACCTTTTATCCGAAGAACTACAGAAAATGTTTTGTCCCCACTTGATTATCCCCATCTTTCAGTTAGCTGAAGTTATTGCCAATGAAATCGTGGAATGCAGAAGTCTGTCCAACCTGTATCACCTTCGGTGTGTATCCCTTATTTATTGTAAATAGAAGATAAACTGAACAAAGTGGATCATCAATTAATCTTTCACTGCAGCCAAGCCTTACCCGACACATTTTTTTGTTGGCTCCTCAAGATCAGCTTTTACTTGGTGGTATTTTATTTATGTCTATGACCTGATTTTTACACATTATCAGATAGGAGTACATGAATGTATTTGTCTTTGCTCAGTGCAGAAAAGCAGGTTAGCACACACACAGATGTGGGGTTTTTTTGCATGCTGTGGCGAGACCGTATTATAAATATTTCCAAACTTTTGCCACATCATTTCTGATGCTAAACTGGAGAGATCTGGGTTTGGATGGACTGGGCATACTGGTGGAGGCCCTGCATTGACAGTGCCCAGGGCCAGGCTGGACGGGGCTCTGAGCAGCCGGGGCTGGTTTTGGGTGTCCCTGCCCATGGGGGTTGGACTGGGGGGGCTTCAAAATGTGCACTCCAGCCCACCCTGCTATGTTGTTCTGTGACCTCTGTCAATGAGCAACTTCAGCTACTGTGTTTCCCCCTATTTATTTAAATTCTTTGTTATTGCCAGCATTAATCAAGACATAAGAAGGTGGGACTATAAATGTGGGATGTATGGTCTTTATATACGATGTGTTTATCTGAAAGGTTCTGATTGTTTCTTAAACATTTCTTCTTTTTATTCCTAGAATTGCCCTGATATGTTCAGACCTAAAACTGAGTCAGGCATCTTTGTATCATGAGAAAGCTGCTGGAGAAGCATACATCAGTGAATTAGAACAAGCAATGTATGTATTTTCACTATGTGGGCTATATTTTTGTGTGGTTTTTTCCCTACGGTTGACAAGTATTCTTTGGGAAAAAAACAAATTTAAAAATATGTTCTCTTAACACAAATGTGATGCATTAGCTGTGCCCTAAAATCCTGTGCCTGGTTGTTTATCTATCCACAGAGCGACTGCATGGCGAAGATGCCTAACGCACAAATACTTCATTATTAAGTACTTTAAAAATATACTCGAATTTACTTTTTCTTTCTTGTGATTTAGGTGTAGGCAAGAGATTGCACTGAAAAAGGAAAAACAAATACGTACTGAGACAGAAGAAAGAAAAACAGGTTTTGGAAATGCTCAGCTGAATGATAGGGATGAGAATACCCTTACTTCAAGTGAAAAGGTTTTTATTTCTACTCCAGTTTCTTTAATAAATTACTTTTGGCTTTTTATTTTAATATACTTCTTAGTTTGCTTTAAATTAATTTTATACTTGAGGAATAAATGAACACAAAAATCATTAAAAGTGCGTACTACTGAAGTTCTGCTGGCAGCATCAGCTGGGCCTGAGCTGGCTTTGCTGCCCTGTTATTTGTGGTGTGGAACAGGAATGAAATCTGCATTCACACCAAGGAAAAACCCAAATGGGATCTGAGACTAACGCAAATCAATGGAAAAGACTGAGAAGCAAACCAGATTTGTATTCGCTCTTGGTCTTGGTTTTCTCCTCTTCCTCTCTCCTTTCCATCCACTGCGCTGTTATACTTCCTCTTACACATTTTTAAAGACATGCAAATATTTCAGTTCTGTCTTTTCTGTCTGTTCTTTAGCAAGATAATTGCCTAACTGATATTGCTGAAGTTTCCCCTCACCTTCCTCTTTATCAAGGCAATTCTGTCCTTGTATTCATCATATCATTGTGCTCTCTTTGTGTATTTTTCCATTTTTGTGCATGTAAAATATCTTTCTTCTAATTACTAATCCCTTTCAAGTCACCTCTTTTAGGTCTTGCAAGTAGATTTTCTCTTTGATTATTTCAGTTATTACCCAGAATCAACCTCTTTGTAACAGTAGCAGATCTGAAGTAGTCAATCTGTTCCAAAATTCATTTTGATAGTATATACTTATTAGCTGAATGCCCTTTGAGGATCATAACACCCAAATCTCACAGTAAACCTCTATTTCCTGTAGTACAAAGTTGAATTTCAAAGTTAGAAAATGGAGCTGAACTGTAGGATAGATCAAGAATTTGATATAACAGTTAACAACAATTTGTATTCCATTTAGTTCCGTTTTGAAATTTATGAAGGTGTAATATTTTGTTATTTTTCAGTTTTTTGAGTTAAATACAGTAACAGGAAAAGGGCTGAGTGCACTTTCTTTCCCTTACTTGTGGATAGAAAAGGCTGAGGTGTTAATTCAGCTGGGCTTGTATCAACCAGCACGACTCCTGCTTTCAGAGGCCCACGCTGCAACTCAGGTAAGAGAGAAAATAGAAAAAATAATAATGAAATGTGTAGTAAAAATGTTAATTTTGATGCAGTCATTTCTCATAATAATAATAATCAAATTGCAAACCCAGACTTTCCCTCCATCCCGCTCCAAACCACTGTAATTTGGAGTTTCAACATATATAAGGTGTACATTTAAATACACGGTGGTTAAGTCCAACTTATGGCAATTGTCTGAAGATTATTTCAACTTATGAAGTAGTGTCAGCATCTCTGCTCTGCAGTGACCTTGGCAGATGGATTTGTGTCCAAACCTTGTTTGCTGAAATAGTTTAGGGACACTCGAGATTTCCTCATGAGAGCAAGCAAGCATTTAGCACTCAACATTTCAATCATTTCAAAGTCTACTTATATACTTGAATTTCATTACAGTTTTTACTGCTAAATGTGTTTTGATAAACAGACACTGACACTAATTCTACATTAATTATATATAAATTATGATTTATAATTCTGGCAGCTCTGAAATAAGCGTCTGTATGTTCCACCAAACAAAGCCACATTGACTCATTATTGTGAAGGGTTTACATTAAAGATACTATTTCTATATCTACCATTCTCCATTATAGCTCTCTTCTTGGTTATATGGGTTACCAAAACATAATTATGTCAATAAATCCTTTACTTTTAAAAACCCGTAATTGTTATCCTGTTATTCCATCTAATAATTTTTCTTCTGCACGTAAAAACTACCTAGGTATATTTAGCATGAATCATTAATACTTTGAATAATATGTGAATAATGCATGTCTCTTATTAAAGCATGAATTTAGTATTGCATATTGAGAAAAGTTCAAAAGATCTTAGGAAGAACAATAATTCTAATGACAGTTTCTAACCAGCCTTCTGTATGTCTGTGTGCTTATGTCTGTGTGCTAGTGTGTTATCCATACTGTACGCTCTCTTTGTCTCTTGTATACTACTAGTATATAGTTTATAACTCGCATAAACTGGCATTGTAAATCTACTGGAGCTCTAGAGGATCTGGGTCCCACTAAAGTTTTTTTGTCACCACGCTTCTTTATCAGATGCTGACCACTGACAGCAGATGTACACATCATAAAAAATAGCAGAAAAATGGCTTGTTTGACTTGTGGGGTAGAAAATATGAGAGCATAAAGAAATATAGATTATGTTTGAAGATCTGAAGCTTTTGATATGAAGTAGATGCTTTGTTTTTGGGGAAAAAAAAAGAAGTAATAGAAGGAGTACCTAAGAAATTCTACAGATAATTGAGGAAATGCCGTTTGGCTCTTGTTTCTGTGCCTGTTCCTAGGTTTAGTTTGAGATATGAATGCAGTCAATGCGGCTGGCACAGTTTTGTGGCACAGTTCTGAGCACATATCCCCGTCCCTCCGCAGGCACTGCAGGCCCCGGGCGCAGTGTCCCGCTGCCTGCAGCTGCTGGCGGTGCTGGCCAGGCGGGAAGGAGGCCCCGCGCAGGCCGCGGCGCTTCTGGAGCGGGCCCAGCGGCTGGGGGGCAGCGAGAAGCTCTGGTACCGCAGCGCCCTGGGCCTGGCGGAGGCCGCGCTGGAGGGCGGCGGGAAAGGCCGACACAGCACGGTACGGAGGGGCCGGGGGTGGTGGTGGGTTCTATGCAGTGTTGGTGCCTCTGCCTCATCGGAGTGGAAAGTTACAGCCTTTGCATTTCAGTAAAAGCAAAAGCAGTTGTTAAATGCGGGTACTGTTGTTTTCCCCGTTGTGCATTCAACAAACATTAATTACAGGTGCCAAACTGATGCAGACCAGTAAGAATAAGGTTTTTACCCTCAGTTTAGCATGTTTTTAGGATAAACTGTATATCCTGTTGAAATGAGAGCAATTATAATCTAGTGTGTGTAACTAAATCCCAGAGATCTGATTCTCTTGGTTAGAATGCATTTGTACTCAGACAATTCTGTTAACATTGGTGTGTTTATTTTCCATATTTAATGAGGATTATAACTTTCAATATTATTTCTTTTTATGCACTTCCTTTTCAAATATTTCGAATAGTTTTACAAATATTATTTCTAGATTCTGGAAGATACTATTGTAAGTATAATATATATATATATCTTTATTAGGGAGAGATACCGAACATATTTTGCACAAAATTTAAGCTCTTTAAATAAATGTTTGATATTATACACAGATTTAAAGTAGAATGATCCCATTTCTGTTGTTACTTGCAGGCCTGTGGGGTCCTGGAACATGCTGTGAGTGTGCTCAGGTCCAGTTTGCTGAGGACACCCAACAGAGAAGCGGAGCTGGGTTTTATGATCACATCCCTTGAAGCCAGGTAACTGTCTTTTTGTTAAAATACATCCACCCTGTACTATGCAGCTATATTGCAAACATGTGGTGATTTTTACCATTCATCTTTAGTATGGTGCATTCTGTGGATTCTCAAATATTTTTCTTCTAAATAATTTGTGTTTATTCTTTTTTTAAACTTTAACTTTCCTATTTCTTCACTTGCATGCAGCCCTACTACCTGTTGAGTTAGTGAGCTCGTTCAGATACCACAGCCCATTGTGTGTAGGTTGTGGTGTAGGTTACCCAAAGGAGCAAGACACATTTGGCCATGCAGAGGTTTCTGTTTGAGCACCAATGTTCCCACACCACCACTGCAGTCGGCAGCAGTGACCTCCTTCTCTACTCAGTCTCTTTATGATGAAACTGAACAATTACTTTGATTACTTTGAAATCCAAGCACAGAGAACTTAAAATGTGTTGGTGAGAGAAGTACCTGATGCTTACACTTCCTCCTTTTTCCAGAAATGTGGATGAGAGAGGGAAGACAGACTTCTCCATTCTGCTGCAATGAGAAGACTGGTTAGGCCTAGACAGTTTGAATGAGATTCATGGAAAAGTGACGCCTCAATTCTGATCTGAAAATGCAGTATTTTGATTTTTTTGCAGGACCTACTATAATTTTTAGACCACAGATTTAATGGATGAAGTGGCTTTTTCTAGATGCCTTGTAATTTAAGGGAGAGCAGAAATAAATATGTCTGTTTTCAAACACAGCCTGTGGTTTCTGACTGCTGTGTTGTACTTCATTTTTATTCCTAGAAAAACACTTATTGAGATACGTTTTGCCCACGATTGTACGGCAGGTAGTGCTGAACCTTGTCAGTTACCAGAAATGCTACAGGAATCTTACAATAAATTAGTTCAAATTGAGAAGGACTTCATTAATTATGGGCATAAAAACTGCAGCGCTGAGATACTACTAGAACGTGCAAATATTCACAGGTAAGATTGTACTTCTGATGGAAAAACATTGAAGTTTGGATCTATTTTATATATCAGTGAAACTCTTTAATCTCTTAATCTCATTAATTTGTTATATGTGTTCAGTACTGTTGATACCATAAAAGTAAACACTTTATGTTAATTCCTTTGGGTTTGTGCTTTTTGTGTCTTTTTCAGGATGATTGCCAAGCAGGACAGAAGCAAAGAGGGAAAACATGGTCACTATCTAGAGGCTTATAACTTAGCTCAGAGGGCAGTCTCCAGAACAGAGGAAGTGTTTCATAATGTTCGTCGCTTAATTTCAGTTAATGAGGTATGGAGATATATATAGATAGATACATAGATATATTTTCCTACTCATGAAAAGAAATATCTAATTTAGTTGTACTCCTCACTCGTTCCTGGATAACTCCTTGAAGCCCCAACTGAGATTATCCTCCTGTGGTGACAGGCATTGTTTGAATATAGAAGGAAAACATTGCATACCAAAATAATATACCGTTTAAAAAGGCAAGAAGAGAAGCAGAAGTGAAATTATTTGTTTGGTCTTGTCAATTTTATTTAATCTAAAATTTATCTAATAACTACAAAAGAAAAAAATCTAAACTTGGAGATGCTTTTGTTTCTCTAAATACCTCAGAAGTTTAAAAATCTCCACAATAAAGTTTATTTCTCAGAAGAAAAAGAATGTTACACAGAACATTATGTAAATAAAGCCTGTCTCCAGAATAGTGTATTTTGGGTGATGGAAGCCTGCAGCCTCCCTTGCTCGTGGGTGCCATTATTACACTCTAGCATCCAGCTGTTTATTCTGTTTTGCCGTTTTTAATGAGCAAGTATTTTTGTGCAGCTACCAAAACCATTAATATTAAAATTCTGGATTTATGTACACATCTGTAACTCCTTTGGAATTGGGTATTTGTACCAGGTACATAAAATGTGAAAAGCAAAAACCTGCTGCTCTTTTTCTATGCAGCTACTTGATAGCTTTGTAATATATTTAACATTGAAGTTTATCTTTTAAATTGCTTGAATATCTTCATAGCTATGTCTGATCCATTGAGATGATATTGTTAAAATGTTTACTTCTTCAGTTAAAAGAAATACAACATCTTATCAGGTAAATTTGCAAAAATATTTGACATAATTCTATTTTCCTTTTATATTGCAGACTACAAATATTAGTATCCCATTAATGAGGCAGCTAGCTAACAGGAAAATAAATCTTGTAGAAATTCTTTTGGATATTTTTAGTCTTCTTGTTGCTGAGAAAAAGCCGCAAGTGGGAGAGGCATCATCTCGTAAAATTGTGGAGGCATTCATCAGAGGAGCTATTGAAGACAAGGCGACACAACAGGTAATACCAAACATTTCTGTTATGATTTGCAGGCAAAAGGTGACAAAAAGTTTACCAGGGAAGTTTTCCAGCAGAAACTCTGCTGCAGCTGAGGAAGCGTGTCCCCGGGCCGTTCGTGGGGTTCCGCAGCAGAGGAAGTTCCAGTCTCTGGTTCCTGCCTTGGGGCTGATTTATTGGGGCTTTTTGGTTTTGCTTTCTGGTAAGATTTTGTTTCTCAAATGCAGAGACTTAGAAAGCTCTGGGAGTAGCAGGGAAATGGCTTGAGGCTTTCTAGTTGATGGGTTGAGGTGATTTTGCATCATTGTCTCTTCCTGTTGAAGCAGTTTTAGGCCAAGCTGCCTGGGCCGGTGAATAAGGACTCACGGTGTCCCTGGGTCGGGGCTGTGGCTCTTGCCTCATTCTGCCCCTGACAGTAACAACAGGCAACGCTGTCACGGGAAAGCAGCATCCCCACTGTGGTACCCTCCCTCCCTCCCCTTGTCCCGTGTTTTCCTCAGTGCTCTTTGGTTTTTGCTTATGGAATTAATAAATGGTTAATGAATTTGTTTATCTATTAAAGACAGCTCGTTTGCAGATGGAAGCGTAATCACATTTAACAGATGTGTTTGTATGTACATTTTTCAGAAGGTATGTGTAGGTATATGAGCAAGTGAAGATAAATGTGTATTTTCCAGGACTGGAAGCATGTGGGACGCTCTGCGGGTCATGCTGCGCTGGCTCAGCTGGTGAACATGCAGAGGCTCTGTCCGGGCTGTCCCGACATCAAGTCCAAGTGCCTGTATCTCACTGGAAAAACTCTTCATTTACTTGCCATTAGCGTGGACCCTGTATGCTCGGAGGTTTACTGGAAGCCAAATGTTGTGGTACGCATGCTTTTCTGCATTCAGATTTGTTTCTGTGTGTAAAGTTTGTCGGCCACAATGTTTATTCCCATGTACACTTAGAACTAGGTTTTACATATTGATGCGAGCCATAATAAAAATGCATACTGAACCAAGTAATTTCAGAAGCATGCGTCTGCCTATGTCCCATGCTCATGTAGACAATTTTTTGAGTCATTCTTGAGATTTGCTATTTACAGTATTTTCAAAAGAGAGAAAAAAAACATCCCTTGACTGCCTTAAAGGCTGAGTAGGTCGGTCCCTGAGTCTCTGCAAAGAGGTGATGACTTTGTGAGTTCCTCTTGTGTTGTGTGAGAACACCACGTCAGAAAAGAAAAGTAATTATAAACTCACTGATCAATTAAAGTGTCAGATGAAATCTACTGAGGGTAAATATCAGAAAATCAAAATCTTAGAGGTTCTATGAGTCATATTGTCAGCACAGCATACTAAGAAATTTTGGTGCTTCACAATATTGCTACATCTCTCATCATCAAGGGATTCATATAGTGAGAAGATTCTTTTGAGATTGGTTCCATTTTCAGCTAGACTTTCACAAAATAAATTAAGCCTGCCAGACTTGGTGGAATGATTAATTATTCTCTCTTTATATACTGTGATGAGTAGGAAGAAGCTAAATCAAACATCGCCAAAACTTCCCTGGCTTCAGCAGAATGCAGTGAGGAGGAAGCGACAGACAGCAGTTTATGGGCTGATAAATGTCGACATAAGTATGGGAGGACAATACAGGAATTAAAGGTATATTGCTCGCATCAGAATTTGAGCGCTTCCTTTTTATGGTATAGCGGTCACCTTACCTTATCAGTTCGGTCTGAACTGATAGTAGAAATGTTTGTAACAGAAATTGCATCTTACAAAAGAAACAACACCCCAAAACACCCCCAAAGCCCCACGTTCCATCACTCCTCTGCTGTGCATCTCTGTCCTGCCCCTCGATGTGTGCAGTGGGAGCATTTTTTAATCTAAAGAAATAATTTCTCCTTCAGTGGTCTGCACTGATCAAGGCTGTAGCAGCAGGACAAGGTGAACAGCAGCTTTCTCTCACAGATGTTCCTTCCTTGGGGAGCAGGCTGGGAGCAAAGAAAGAAATAACTTCTAGCACAAAACATCTGTGAAATTCCTGCAAAATTAAGTGGTATTGTGTGGTAAACTGATCTGTTAGCCACTGCAGTTCAAAGCACACTAGGAAATGGGGACGTAGTGTTTTTGTTGCTACTTTAATCAATAAATACCCGAGATAAGAGATTTGTGGGTTTATTTGTATTAAATATATATAACTGTCAATGGGAACTGTACTGAGCACTGACAGAAAGTTTCTTTATTCTGAACAGCAAATACTGCCTGGAATTAAAAATACTATGCTATGTATATGTCTTGTATCTGAAAAAGTATCTTACGAAAACATTTATTTTTCAGTGTTGTATAACAGATGTTGATATCAGCTAAATAATTAATATCTATTTGCATATTTTTACCATGCATTAAGTAAATGCCTTAAAAGGCAGAAAAAGCATTAAAATTATTCACTAAAAAGTAATACTTATGTTTTCTAATGCACTTATAAGCTGTATGTGTATAACAAATACTGTTTTTATTTATTTTCATCATCTAGAAGGAACATCGTTTGGCTCAGTATTATCTTTCTCAGTGCAGCGAAGCGCTGGTACAGTGCATGGGCATTGCCTTTGCTCATCAGATCACCGATGTACTGGCTCCTGCTAGCTTTGAAATGGTTGAATGCTTTCAGCAACTCGATCCAGTTTCAGCCAGCCAGTTTTTGGCACTTCATCAGGTAACGCAGCTAACGGCTCGTGCTTCTTTCCAGCATAAAACGGGTCGTTAGAGTTGCATAAGCAAAAATGTCTATTCATGTAGAATGGCTATAATATACAGTCAGTGGCTTTTTGACATTCTATATCTGTTGTGTCAGATTTAATGTTTTCATTGATGATTGCATACATGGAAAGGTTTTAATATGAATAAATTACTGTAATGTGATTAGCTAAGATAAGACATTTACCAGAAACTACAGTTTTATCCTTCCCTAACAAACAGCTTAAGAAACGTTTCTCTGAATTTGCTTGTTCATTATTTAGAAGCACACAGGAAAGGCTTACATTCAGTTTGTCAGTTCAGCACCTCACAGCATGGTCCTGTAGGTGACTCACAGGGGCACAACTCGTTCCTGTAAGTGCCTTCCTCACAGAGAGGATGAGGAGGGGCCATGAGGTTCGCAGTCCCCACGTTGGGGACAGGCAGTGCCCACTTCTGCACCATCATGTCCCTTGTGGAAATACAGAAATGCACCTTGCACCAATTTCCACAGAAAATGATGGGAGACGTGGACTTGCAAACACTGCACCCTGGCTGGGATGGGCTGCACGGGCCTTTTGATAAATGGGAAAACAGCCCATGGTGGGTGTCGTGGTTCAGTGCTGTGTTCCTGTACTGTTATTTGTGGTTTGCTGTCATACTCGTTAGTGACCAAGCTGAGTAGATTGCATATTGGGGCACAAAACCAGGAGAAGTCATGTCTGTAACTGGGCAAAAACTCTGCCAATTCAGTTACTGTACTACCCAGGAAGGTTTGTATTTTAAAAAATAATGCTTCAAATGTCACTCCATGTTGGTATTAAAGCCTCCCTTTGGAATACTTGATTAGGTCAACCCGAATAGCATTTTTTTTTAATGTGACAGCTGCATTAAAAGAAAAAGAAAGATGCTTTAGCTCTTAGCACTGGTTCAAGGGACAGGATTGATGTGTTTGCTGAAAGAAAAGGATATAGAGTCTTACCCTTTCTATTGCTCTTTGTAGGAAATCTGTTAAAATGTGCGATGTGGTGGCTTTACGGTATAAGGCAAAAAAACACAGAAAAGACTCAGCTTACCTGAAAGGCAAAGTCCAGTGCACAGATGTTTACCTGTCCCTGTAGACAGCTCAATGCAGGAACATCAATGATAAATGTAGACAGAGAAGTCAGTTCTAGCTATTCATATTTAATAAATCTTCCTAAGTTACTGCCAGCCTGTCCGCATTGGTTTGTGAACACAAATAGCAGGAAGGCTTTTGCTAATCCATCTCACCTTTCAAGCAAGAGACTTTAACATACATATATGTTATAACAAACAGAGTATATATATATTTATATTATTTTTAGGAGAGTAAATAAATAGATACAACAATTTTACAGAGCTGTTCAGCATCCATGGCGATGAAGAGTGTCCTTCTGGCAGCGACATCCAACACCAGCAGCTCCCAGCTAGCAGCATTGCTGCATCTGCAGAGGAATTTGAAACAAAGCAGAGGCACAAGTGACCTTCTGAAAAGCGTGGAGCAGCAGCTGGCTGCTACCTCAGTGGTAACTTTTGAGAGTTGTGAATGCGAGCACTAGGATTGGGAGCCCCTGGGTCAGAGATGAGTGAGGTGCCCAGGCCCCAGTCCCGGTGCCTCTGAGCATCTCCACGATGGAGGCGCCGCAGCCTCAGGCCCCGCTCAGGGACCAGGTGTTTCCTGTCCTGGCACATCTGGAAGTAGAGTTTGTTGGCTTTTTAATGTTTTAAATATTAGCACCTTCTTTCCTAGAGTTATTATCAATTTTCTGATGTAAGAACTGAGATTGGGGTTTATAAAATCCATGAAAATAATGCTGCTTTTGAATTCTTGTACAGGCATGGAGAAATCTCTGTATACCTGTTGAACATTTTAGTATAATGGATGAATTGCCATCCAATTTCCACATAATTATTCTCCAGCATTCAGAAGACAGGTATAAAATTTCTTCATTTTGGTTTATCATACGGTTTGTTACAAATGTAATCTCTTTTTTCCCCTGTAAATAATCACTATTTTGGTCGTTTATTGCCTTCTACTTCTAATTGCACTGGACTTGAATTTTAGGATAGTGAACAAATTAATATATAAATAAAAATGCTTGCAGCTCAAAGCTGTACTTTTGATTTCCCTGCTTATCTCCTCAGTATCCAGAGGTCACCCGAAAGGGTTCAGGCCATTCTTCTTATCCGCCTAAGTTCTGTTAGTGGCTTACAGCGCATATTTTTTAACACTTCTGAAAATGTTAGGAGGGGTCATACTTAGCAACCGCTCATGGATTGAGCTGTAGCAACTGACTGAGTACCTGTACCAGTTGTGGAAGGTCCTAAGCGGTTGTGGTGGAGCACAGGAAATCCCTTGCTGCATGCAGAGCAATGCAGGAGCTTCCCTCTCAGCACCCAGTTCGTTCCAGTTAGGTTTGCAGGTTTCTGCACCTGAAGGTGGGGGTCAGTATTGCATTTGAGAGTGTTTGTGAGCACATTTTAGAGGGTAATAATTGCTCATCTGGTAAATTCACTGCATGCAGACCAGGCTGTGCATCACATCACCCCCTCAAGCAGGTTTTGTTTCCCATAGGTCGGGTCTGTTCAGCTCCTGGGTCGAGGTGCCCCGGGCAAGCCCTGCACCACTGAAAGGAAAACCCACGTGGCCGACGGGTGAGTGCCTCATATGACCGATATGAAATCACTGCATGGTGTTGTGAGAGGGCTCGAGTCTTTCCCTGTGCAGTCAGCGAGCTTTTAAAATAATTTTAAAAATAATTCTAACTCTTACGAATACCAGCGGAAGGTAAATACCTAATCACAGCTGTTACTGTTATCAGGTGTAATGCATCAATTTGCAGAATTTTTGTTTCCGTTTCAAGGCTAAAGTCGTTATAGCTCAACAATTGTAGAGGTGTTTTTCATTGTACATTTCGGTGTATATTTTGTGTTAAGTATGCGTATATTAACAGGTAGTTCATTTTCAAAGAATGCTGTGGCTTCAGAAAGTGGTATTTTTTGTAAGTCATTTCTTCAAGTACAAATGTGATGTCTCAGAACAAGACATAAGATGGTATTATCCTTATTTTAATAGTGCAAGCTAAAGCTTCTCGATTTCCTGTGAATCCTGATACATTTTGTGCTTTATTGGAAAAAGTGCGTCTTTTCAAGCAGCAGCAGATGAAGAGATGTCTTGAGCAGACTGTGGTGCGGCACTTGCAAGAGTGTGTCTCCAAAGCAGATGTGGTAATGTATTTGATTGCTTTATATTTAAAATAGAATGAAAAACTGTCGTAACTATCATAAACACTCTATGCAGAATTTTCGTTTATTCCAGGTGTAACATTGCTTGTCCTCACAGCTGCTGAACACTGTGTGCTCTGCTTCAAAATCCAATCTTCCTGTGCCATTCTGTGGCTGTTTTCAGTGTCGTTCAGCAGCTGTGAATTGTTCAGGAGTTTGTCAGAACTGACAATTGATGCAGTTGAGATCAATTTACTTGAAAACGTGCTGTACCTCTTAAGATTTGCATTGGCAGATGTCCTTTGCCTTTCATATCACGTGAAAGCCCCGGCTGCACCAAGAGACACAATGGTTTTTCAGTATCAATCAAAATTCACTGTTAAATATAGCACATTTTTAAAAGCTGCCACAGCCTTGTTTCCACTGCTAATGTAAAGGTAAAAAATACAGAGCATAGTGAATTTTTTGTACAAGTTTTCATCATTTTAATCTCACAACTTTGACACATCTGGTTGTTGAATTATAATCCTGTTTTATTTCTCAGTTTAGCTCCTTTCAGTTGAAACACTGATTATTGCAGATGGTCGAAGTGTTGATCACTGTCTCTTGTCCAAGGCCTTTGCTGTAATGGCAGACTGTGGAGATTGCTGTAGTTGTACTGGTAAAGAAAAAGGCGGTGAGATGGTGTCGGGCAGAACAGACACAGCCCCGTGGCTCAGGTGTTTGGAATGGGGCTCGTTACAGTGTTCACTAACGAGACACAGAGCTGCATGGAGTCAGCTGTGGGCGAGAGGTCCCCCAGGGGCACCAGCTCCTCGCCTCTGCTTGAGCTCGTTGTTCAGTTTGGGTTTTTGTGTCCATCTGCATTGTTTTGAGAAGCTTCAACTTTTAATGTCATCTTCTCTGTGTCTCTGTTCTCCTCTTATCTGTTTTCTTCATTCTGTTCAGTTTTTTCCTTAAAAAACCCACCTGGCTCCCCTGATCCATCCACACATTTTCATTTGCTGTGTCTGTGTTCATCTTGCAGTTGGTTCACTTCTCAAAGTTGTCCTCTCATAATTTCTTCCTGTTATTTGCAGCACATTATCTTTTATTTCTGCTGGACTTCCCTGCCATTCCCCACTGAAACTGCAAAGTGTATTAATTCCTGTGCTGATTCCTGTTGTGGTTTTGCATAATGCTGATAGGAGTGGTGTTTTGAAACTGTATTTTTGAAACTGATTTTCTATATTTATATTTTCCATTTTATGATGTTTCAAATTATTTGATTTAGCCTCTGATTAAACATAATACACCCCCATCCTTGTTAAATAGCATTTTGTAAGTATTCTCATTTTTTTTATTGTGATGTGTATGACAGACTCCAGCAGAGAAAATGGATGATAATGGATGTGATTTGACAGCAGATTTCTCTGAAGTACTAGAAATGATGGAAGAATACCTGAAACCAGTGCTGTGTCAGTTTGATTTTTCTGATGTCAGGTAAGACATGGAGACTTCGTGAAACACCAGACATTTGTTGAAACAATGCGGGGACTCCAGTCCTGCAAATTTGGGACTGGTTTTACAAGAACAGGTGTGGCTGAGTGGTGGTGTTTGAGGGTTACAGGACAGAGGGGACTGAACCCTGCGACAGAAAACGCTGTTCTCCAGTGCCAGGTGTACAATGAATATCAGTTAAACGTTATCATGTAACTGTTTAGGTGTGGGATTTCCAGAGGACAGGGGCTCCAAAAGGAGGACGTCCGTTGTGTCAGATTTCACTGGTGTTGCAGCAGTTTTGACTTTGTGTTTCCTGTGCAAACTTGAACCCTCGTCAGTATCAGTGCTGGTGATGTTTTCACTGATTCCTCTCCCCAGAAAACAGAGCACATCAGCAGCTGAGTCAGGAAGAATGAAAGTGAATGAGAAGGACGGCAAACACGCAGGAGCACAGGGTACGTGCGCTCTTGACTGCAAGGAGTGTGTATGGGTGATATTAAAATCCTCTCATTTTAGTGTCAAGTATTTTTGAAGCCAGGGAGAACAAAAAGGCTTTAGCAATGGTTTTGTCTGTTTAATTTCTGTGTCAAGTCAAGTGTTTTAGTATACTTCCAAACAGATTATTTTTGTGCTGGATGGAGCCATCCTTCTGCCTGTATTTACTCTTCCAAATTGTACATGCTTGAGAGAGCTAAACAAAACGGCTTTATTACACAGTTAGTACTGGATAACAGCTCCTTTACAACGCTGTACTCTTCAGCTAAGCACTGCTACGGCAGTTTTGCATTTCCAAACAGCATTTTTGTGGTACATTGCATACACCTGGACTTCAGTCTGAGATGGTTGTTATTAGTGCAGGGATGTTTTTCCCCTTGAAGAATCAGTGCTCAGAGGTGCATATGCATAGAAGTTTGACATCTTAGACATAACAGTATCTAAAGAAATAATTTTGCATAATGCACTCAGTTCACAGTAAAAGGGAGTTCAGGTGTCATGCAGTAGGGGAAATTTAGGTTTTTGCATCTAACTTCCATCATTTATATACATACTGACACCACCGCATCTCACCCATGCTGTCACATTTCTCCAGGTACACCGATGGATTTAGGACTGTGTGTGGTGTTGCTGGCAGATCCGTTACTGATGGAGCTGCCTTTGGAAGCGCTGAGCATCTTCAGAGCGGGAGGAATCAGCTCTGTGTCCAGAGATTTTTCTCTCCAGATTCTCTACAATCGAATACATCTGGCTGCATCAGGTACCATTAAATAAATATTCTTTGTATGAGCGTTACGATGCAGCGAAAAAGATACTTAAATAATATGAAAAGTGTATTATATTTTACTGGAAGACTGCCACATACAATAGGTTTCCAGTATTTTTGATGGAGCAGACAGTGCAGTAGACTTCAGTGATGTGCAGGCTGATTGTAGTTGGGTGCTAGTGAGTTTAAAATAACCTCTACATGTGAAGTAAAACCCTAAAATGGCTTGCACAGTTTCAGTTACACAAGCATAGTTTTGCACTCCCTAAAGCTGCACTGAAAAAACTGAAATAAAAAGGTAGACTCTTGTTAATTTTCTTTAACATCAGTGTAAGTTTTGCTCAGAATATCAAATGTAAAGATCTTTTAATCGCTGAGCTCCTTCCTCTCCGTGTGGCTGAGACCACGTTAAGGGCTCCGCTCAACCCAGCAGCTCCTGTGCTGTGCAGCCCAAAATCGGGTCCTAGGGACTGTGTGGGCTCTCCCAGTCTGCTCCATTTGCACCCTGTATACACCCTTCAGTGACATGAGTCTAAGTGAGGTATTGCACAGTTGATAGGCTTGTCCCTATGGCATCTTAAAACTCATTTCTTACTTGTTCTAGAAGTGAGGAATAAATGCAGTCACCAACCAGTTTTTTGTATAAGTCAAAGATACCTTCTATTACTAAAGTTTACAATTCAAAGTCACATTTTGCTCATACATAGATAAAACCCCATTTTAACTCAAATTATTAGAACTATTGGGCCCAAGCTAAAAAAAGGCTAAGTTTAGAAAAACGTCACTCAGTAACGTGAAAGTTTTGTGTTCCAGAGGGGTCGTTGTACCGTGCTCAGATCTGTAATGTTTGGGACCTTCAGTGTAACCTGTTCTGTTTTTCCATTTCACCCCTCCTTTCTAAAGGGAAAGAACTGTGAATAATATGAAATGAGAGTATTTTTAGTCTCCATACACATTCATACACTGTTACAGGTCTGTTAGGAATTGGAGCTTTAGAACATGTGGGGGTTTTTTCCCATTTCTGTTTTTCCCATCTTTAAAGTGAAGCTTGTTACAGTTGCGTAACTTTAGGAGTGTTTAAATGAGAGGAAGCAGAGTTGAGAAGTCTCTGTTCATGCAGTTATGAAAGTGGGCACTCAGTGAGGAGGAAAACACCACCCCTGAGTAAATAATAA